CCGATTATTATTATTTACTTATTTATTTCTTATTTATTACTTATTTATTTCTTGTTAGACCGACTAACAACCGGGTTTCTACTGACTGCTAGGTAGACAGAGGAGCAAGGAAACTTGCCCAAGGTTTCGCCCTGCCCGTGAATCGAACCCGGGTCTTCTCGCTTGTGAGGCGAGATCTCCAAGCAAATAAGCTACAGGGCTCCACGTACAGCGACTTATCACGTCGTCGAGACGTCTCGCAGAACTTATTGTGAAGTGGGTTGAGTGTGGGCTTTGGGGCGAAGACGGCAGCCAATTGCACACGGCAAAGTCCCACAAACAGTCGCGGGTTGATTGACGGAGGAGGGTTTAATATTAAATGCTTCATTTTTTTTTTAGTGTTCGTTTTAGCCCGGCTGAGTTTCTAAAAATACACTTGAGGTTTGTTTTTCTGGCATTTTGTTTTTGGGAATAATTACGCACATTATGTCCGTCCCTCCATTGAAAAGTGAAACTGCTGGTCATCATTCAGGAATCTCTGACAACCTCGCTGGGTGGAAACAGGACAACACCCAGACACACACGCACCATTTAGTGATCTTAACCATGTTCTGGGAAGAGAGCAGGTGCCTGCGGACTTTGAAAACGTCTCTCTTCTCCCCTTCCCACTCTCTCCGAGGTCCCGTAGCGTAATGGTCAGCGCGCTCGCCTTGCGAGAGAGAGGAAACGGGGTTCGATTCCCGGATGGGGTGAAACCTTGGGCAAATTTCGACACGGATTTCTCAGCTTGGTTTGGGATATTCTTAGACATGGTGATGGGTTTCCGCATGTGTCAGACACCCGGCTGACCAGAAAAAAGACAACGTTTGGTTTGTAGTTGCCTTAATCCACACCCCACTGTTTGGTTTGTAGCAGTCAGTAGGATCCCGGTTGTTAGTCAATTGTCGGATCGCTTTCCGGGGGTAATAATCCCTCAAAAAAAAAAGATTGGTCACTTAATCCACAGCTGTTTGTGAGACACTGCTGTGTGCCAGAGGTCGGGCTCCGCCACTGCTAAGCGCTCTGAGACGCTACTCTGCGTGGAGGGCGCTATATGAGTACAAATTGTTGTTGTTGTTGTGTGCAACTGGCTGCCGAGCTTCGCCCACAAAACGCACAGTCAATCTACTTTACAAATGAAGCGCTTTGAGACGTCTCGAAGACGCGATAAGGCACTACATCGAATGCAAGGATTATTATTGTTATTATATTCTGTGAAGCAAGCGCTTTGAGATGTCTCAGCGACATGATAAATACAAGGATTATTATTATATTGTAAGATCTGACTCTTAAGAGGCTGAATTATGCATCTATCGCCGGTTTTGATTAACGCAACCGACGGATACCGAACCCGAATACCCGAATTCGTAAAGTTTAGTGTGAAGGACTCAACGGATATGAGACACTTTCCCACTAGGGTTAGGGTCTGGGGTCAGTCTGGCTCAGTCGGTAGCACTCTCGCCTCTGACTCAGAAGGTTGTGGGTGAAAGTCCCACTCACCCTCTAGGCTGACGTTGCAGTGCGTTGCTGAGGGTGGGGATGGGTGGGTGGGTGGGGAGGGTGGGGGTGGCAGGGGGAAGAGCACTGCATTTTCAGAGGTGCCTTCGGAAGAGACGTTAAAGCAAGGTCCTCTTTGCCTTGACTGGGTGAACGTTCAAGATACCTTGGCAGTGTTCAGAAAGAGAAAGGAAGATTCCTCCGGAGTCCTGGGCAACAATCCTCCCATTCACGTCTTGGCTGTTTGTGGAACGATTAACGTGTGTAAATTAGGCTCCCACTTGGGACGTTCTCCTGACGTGAAAGGCGCTCTATAAATGGAATCTTGTTGTTGTTGTTGTGGGACACGTGCATATATAATTAACTTAAATCCTACATCCTTTAATCCCGCACAGGGCTGCACGAGTTCAAAGTCCTGACGTGGGGCTTGAACCCACAAAGTGCTGAATCAAACCCAAACCTACGCAACATTATTTTGAGTCTGTAAAGTCACAATTAACCATTAAAAGCAAACGGACCACACTCAGCGAATGCAGCAGAGACCAAAAATAATGATTGCATTTAATGTCAATTTGAATTGGATTATAATAATGATAATAATCATTGCATTTGAAAATGTCACAAATTCTGGACATTCGGTCCACCTGTGACCAGGGCTCTCCCCCTGCCTCCTTGATCTCTCAGCCGCCATAGACACTGCCGACCATTCTATTTCTTCTCCATCACCTTTCCTCTCAGCTCCACCATGACGGTTTGTGTCCTCTCCCGCACTAAACTCCGCGAGCCCATCAACCCCATCCTCGCCCGGCTTCGAGTTTAAAATCCTTGTCCGTCAAAGCCCTCCACGGTCTTGCTCCTCCCTTCCTCTGTGATCTACTAAAGCTTTGCCAACTTGCCAAAATGTGCAGGGCTATGGGGTAAGAGCGGGGTAAGAGCGGGGGAGTGGGACTAGTTGGGTAGATCTTTCAAAGAGCCAGCACAGGCATAATGGGCCGAATGGCCTCCTTCCAACTGGCCGGCTCCATGTCCTACGTCCTGCCCGTTCCACTATCATCAGTCGGGCCTTCAGCCTTTCTGCCCACATCCCCTGGAACTCCATCCTGGAGCCCCTCCGCTTTGCCACTCATTGACATTTCAGAACTTTCTGTTTCCCTTTTGGGTTTCTGCCCCTGGGCCGCAGGTCGTAGGTCACGTGGTAGAGGCCACTGGCCACTGGCTATGGGTCACGGGTCATGCGCCGTGGGTCACGAGCCACAGGAGGTGGGTCAGGGGTCATTGAGACCGGGTGGGAGCAACAGAGCTGCTGCTCGCCATGTGGGGTTGGCTCTGCTTTCCCTCTCTCCCATTCTCTTTCTCTTTCCCTCCCTCTCTGCAATTCTCCCTCTCTCCCTCTTTCCCTTCCTCTGTCTCCAATTCTCTCCACCCCTCATTTTCATCCCCTTTCTCTCTCTCTCTCTCTCTCTCTCTCTCTCTCTCTCTCTCTCTCTCTCTCTCTCTCTCTCTCTCTCTCTATCTATCTATCTATCTATCTATCTATCTATCTATCTATCTATCTATCTATCTATCTATCTATCTATCTATCTATCTATCTCCATCTTTCTATCTCTATCTGTCTTTCTCCCTCTCCCTTGGCCGCTTTCTCCCTCTCTCCCTCATTCCCGGCTTCTCTCTCCATTGGCCCCTTTCTCTCTTTTTCAATCATTCCTTCCTTTGCTCTCCCTCTCTCCCTCTCTTCCTTTCACTCTCCCTCTCTTCCTTTCCCTCTCTCCCTTTGCCTCTATCTTCCTTTTCCTCTCGCTCTCTCCCTTTCTGCCTCCCTCTCTCCATCTCATTTCCCCTCCACCCCCCCCCAACCCCACCCCACCCCACCCCACAACCTCTCACTACCTCTCCTCTTCCCATTCACTCATCCCCTTCCTCTCCCGCTTCCTGTTGGGAGATGATCCTGATTTAGCGGCTGAAATCTGCAGCCCAGAAGAGTGAAGATCAAAACGACATCCCCTCCCCCAGCACCTAGTGCGGAGCAGCCAACACAGGAATGTGCAAAACCGGAAAAAATCATTCCTGTCTGTCTAGCCGGTTTCTAAATGCCTTTGCTCTCTGTGTCCCCTACCCCCTGTCTTCCTAATCCCAGCCAATTCGCTCTTGACGTCAGCCACGCTCTCCAGGCACGCATCTCAATGCACTCTTCTGCACATTTTCCTCCCTCACCCCCACCCCCCGCACTCCCCAGCGCCCACTCCCCTACCCCCCATCCACAATCTCCATCCCCAGTTCCCAAACGCCCCCCACACCGCCTCCCAACCACATCAACCACCAAAACTACCTTGCTAATGGTTTTCCGTACTGACCAGTCGGCTCCCTCCTCTCGGTGGGTACTGGCCTGCTTCATGTCCCCCGCCCTGCCTGCCCCACCATTGGCGGTCAGCCCTTCAGTATTTCCGCTCCCGTCCTTTGGAACTCCATCCCACAGGCCCCTCGGCCTCTCCCCCTCCCTTGCCTCCTTCAAGGCCCGTCTCAAGACCTACGAATTACCGAACGGATCGATTTCCAGATCCTCTCAACTGTTTTCAAATCCCTTCACGCCCTTGCACCTCCTTGTCTATCCAATCTGCTTAAACCACCGCATTCCACCACTCGCTGCCTCTGCTCAGTCAGCTCCGGCCTCTCATTTGTCCCTCATCTCCTCCGCTACACCATGGGTGGCCGTGCCTTCAGCCGCTTGGCCCCGAATCTCTGGAGCTCCCTCCCTCAATCCCTCCGCCTTGCCCCCTCATTCCCCACTTTCAAATCCTGCCAAAAGACCTTCTGCTTACGGTCACCTCCCCCCCCTCCCTCTTCCCCTGGCTGATGTTGTTGTGACTTGTTTGCAGTGACATGATGCAGGTGAGCCACGCTTCCCTTTCCAATTCCTCCTCAGGGTGTAAGTCTCCTTCAAGCTGAACTGGACTCCAAAGTGTCGTGTATTAGCAATGGATTGTCCACCCTCTGTGTGTGGTCTCAGTTCCTGAGCCAGGCGGGTGCGCAGTATTCCAGGGCATGGCTCATCGGCAGGACTTGGAAGGGCAGACCAGTCACTGGTTCGAGGGGCTGAAGGGTACTCCTGTGAAGCACTCCTGTTTTTATGGAAGACCCTCATTTTCGCCTTCATCGCATCCAGGCTCAATTATTCTGTGGCTGCTCGCTGGACATCCCAACTCTTCCCTGCACAAGTTGCAGACTATCCAGAACTCTGCAATCCGCAGGAGGCTCCGTGAACCTATCGCACATATCTTCGTCTAGCTCCACAGGCTCCCCATACCTCACGTCACATACTTTGATGAATTGAATCCCAGCAAATCTTTGCTCCATAATTTACCGCAAAAAACAAACAAACTCACAAACACCCAAACACATCAGGAAGCTCTCAGCCAGCACAGACAAGGTGGAGGGTGGTGAGGAGGGGAAGGGGAGAGGAGGGGAATATAGTTTGAAACTAACCTTACCTTGATATGAACCACTGAGTCTGGGACAGTCTGAATCATGTCCTTGTAATGAGCTGCAGATGGAACAGCAACACAGGCCTGCGAGCAAGCAAAAGAGATGGAATTACAACTAGTGGAGTCCCCCATAGCATCGTTGTTCACGCCCTTGCCTCGCAAGTGAGTGGAGCCGGGTTCGATTCCCTGGCGGAGTGAAACTTAGGCAAGTTTCCTTACTCCACATGCCTCTGTTTACCTAGAAGTAAGTAGGAACCTGGGAGCTGTTGAGGGGAGGGGACAGCGAAAGATGTCTGAAAGCGCGGACAAAGAGACAGACTTTAAGACCGATTTTGATGGCGGAGAGAGAGGAAGAAGATATCGGGATCGCAAGATGGGTTTGGACGAAGAAGGCCCTTTGACCTATCTGATCTTATCCTCCCTACAATCCTCCCATCACAACATCAAGCTCCAACTGACAGCACACTTTGACAGAGGCAGATATGGAATAAGAACAATAGATGAGAAGGTTAGATCACAAGATCTTGTCAGAGTGTTCAAGACCTAGATCATCAAAAAAAATTGGTCACTCAATCCACATCTGTTCCTGGGACACTGCTGGGCGCAATTGGCTGTCACGTTTCGCCCACAAAATACAGCCAATTATCATATATTCTGTGAAGCGCTTTGAGACGTCTCGACGACTTGATAAGTTGCTATATCAAATGCAAGGATTATTATTATCATCATCATTATCATCAATATTATTATTATTATTATAAGACAGGTTTGGATGAAGAAGGCCCTTCTGCCCATCCAATCCCTCCAGAGCACCCACCTTACCGTCCCCCCCATTACAGCATCTGGCTGCTTTTTTATAATGAGTCCCAGTATCGTGGCCTCAACCACCCTCTCTGGTGACCCTGTTCCAGTTGTTAATGGGTAAAGAAACACTTCCTGATGTCTGTCCTCAAATTGCCCCTTTACAACTCTAACCCTGTGTCTTCTTGTTCTACTGTCTTGGTGCATTGTAAAGTAATGATCCGGGATTACTTTTTCAATGCCATTTACAATCTTACACATGTCTCTAAGGTCCTCTCTGAGTTGTCTTCTCTCAAGACTGAAGAGCTCCAGCTCGTCTAATCATCGCTCATTCCTCTAACATCCTCGTCGTTAGGATTAGTATTATTTATTCTCACAGGTCACTGCTCCCATTTGGTGAGTGAATTCACTATTAACAAGAATAACACTAATCCACGCATTCGATACAGCGCCTTTCAAGTTGGGAGGACGTCTCAAAGGCACTTCACGGGATTCATGGTAAAGCGCAGCAACTGTGTATTTTGAGGATGAACGCGGGAGCCAGTTTGTACACAGCAATGTCCCTACAAACAGCCATGAATTGAACGGGTAAATTTTATTTGGGAGAATTGTTGGCCCAGACACCGGAAGCGAGAGAAAGTCCTTTCACTTTTCGACTAGCGCCGTGGGATCTTTAACGTCCGCCTGAACAGGAACAGACGGGATCATGATTAACGTCTCATCCGAAGGTTGGTGCCTCTGATAATGCAGGGCAATACCCCCCCCAGCAAAGTACTGGAGCGTCAGCCCAGAGGTACAGATCAGCCGTGGGCTAACAGAATGACGGAAGAGGCTTGAATGGTCGATTCCTCTGTTCCTCGACTGTGTAAGCTCGAACCCGTGACCCGCGAGAGTGGTTGGAGCACATCACGATGGGTTAGCTGCGTTCCTGAGCATGGGAAGCAGCTGGTGGGAGGTCAGAACTGTAATAACGGCAAACTGAGTCAAGCCGAGCCTCGAGCATCAACAACTGCATTTAACAGTAGCGTGACATCTGCTGCTGCTAACCCACTGCTGGCTCTGATCCTTTTTAATATCACAAGGGCACGTTTGATCTCCTTCCGTAGAGCAATGGTTAGCGCGCTCGCCTCGCAAGCGAGAGGACCCGGGTTCGATCGATGGGAGTACGACACGTTGGACAAGTTTCCTTACTCCGCATGCCCTCTGTTTACCCAGCAGTAAGTAGGGAACCGGTTGTTAAGCTGATTGGCGGATCGCTTTCCGGGGGTAATAATCCCTTCCGAAAAAGATTAAAATAAATAAGAATACAAATTTGGTCACTCAATCCAAGCCTATTTGTGGCAAGCTGCTGCGTGCAACTGGCTGCAGCGTTTTGCCCACAAAATGCACAGTCGATCCGCTTTGCAGAATAGTCTGTGAAGCGCTTTCAGACGTGAAAAGGCGCGATATCAAATGCAAGGATTATTCCAATCATTATTATTAATATTGATGTAGAGTGCCGATGGAGTGTCAGCCGAGACCATGAGCTCAAAGTCCCAATGTGGGGGGCTCGAACCCGCTCTGACCCAGAGACAAGAGGCCACTTGACTGAGCCAGGATGCTAACGGTAAGGTAAGATAGCGTGGCTAATGCAACAAGGAATGTAAGCTCCTTCCTCTCCCCTCTCTCCTCTCCTCTGCGGGAGATTCTGCTCCAGCCTGGAAATAACGTGACATGGTTTACAATCACACTGGACGGAGTTAAAAAAAAACATTCCTAATATTTAAAACTTCCACTATCACTCCAACTCAAGTAGAACCAAACACACAGCTTAAGTCAATCTAAACACACCGAGCAGGTCAAACCTAACTCACAATTTCCTCCTTCTTAGAAAGAAGGGTCATTGGCAATCAGCCAAGACTCCAATCCCTAGCTCCAGGTCGGGACAACCAAGGAAGGAGCCATTAGTCATTGGTTGTTTATCTGTTCTGTTGGACAGCCTTTCCCTCGTTGCTGGGGAAAGGATCAACCCTGGGGTCGAAGTTGCTGTGTTTCTTAAAGGGATAATATATAATCCTTTGCATTTGATATAACGCCTTATCACGGCGTTGAGATGTCTCAAAACGCTTCGGAGGATAAAGTGGAAGTGGATGGTCGACGAAACGCGGGAGCCAGTGGCACACACAGCAGTATCCCACAAACAGCTATGGAGTGAGTGACCGGTTTTATTTGGGGGATTCTCGGCCAGGACACCGGGAGAGAGAGAGAAACTGCCTTCTCTGTTCCAACAGCACCGCGGGATCTTTAACGTACACCTCGACGAGACAACGGGACCTCGGTGTAACGTCTCATCAAAAGGACGGCACCTCCGACAATTAAACACCTCCCCCCCCCCACCCCCAGCGCTGCATAGGAGAGTCAGCTTAGACTATGGGATTCCAAGCCCCGCCGAGGGGACTTGAAACCCACAGCCTTCTGACTCAGAGGCGAGACTGCGTGTTTTGTAGCCAAATGCTTCAGAGTCTCCACAAACAGCCATTTTATCTGGCAGGAACTCTCTCTTTCTTTACAAATAGCGCAGTGGATTTTTTAGCATCCACGTTTAACACGTTGGGGTGGGGATGGGTGGCGGAAGGGGAAGCAACCTTCACTGTATGCGTTCAAAGTCCCTGACACGGGGAGTGAACCTTGTGACACAGAGGCGAGAGCGTTTCCAGCTGAGTCAGTATTACACTGCGGAACACGATGTGTTTCGTGCATATACAGACCAGAAGGCAGTGGCGGGGTCTGACCTCGAGCCATGGTGGGGAGAGGAAGGGGGGAAGTGACCGTATGCCCGGTCAAAAGTGGGGAGGGAGGGGGCAAGGGGGGAGGGATTGAGGAAGAGAGTTCCAAAGTGTATTCCCCCCCCTGACATATTCATCTGAAGGGAGGAGCTTTATAATCCTGCGTTGATACCTTCGCAAAGCTGTAAAATGTGCCCACGAGGCACACAGTCACTACGCTTTACAGTATATCCCGGGAAGCACTTTGAGACGTCGCCCCGATGTGAAAGGTGCCGTATCAAATAATAATAATTATTATAATCCTTGCATTTGATATAGCGTCGTATCATGTCGTTGAGACGTCTCAAAACGCTTCACAGAATACAGTACACCGTTAAGTGAAGTGACTACAGTTTGTGGGCGAAAGGATTATTTACTGTTGCTGATTGTTACTGTTATTCAATTATTACTGTTATTACTGTTTATTGCTGTTATTATTACTGTTATTAAAGTGGTTCCCAAAATTTCTGTAAAGCGTGGTGACTGGAGAGCTTTGTGGGCGAAAGCGCAGTCGATTTGCGTACAGCGACATCCCACAAACAACCGTTCAATGGATGATCAATTTGACCTGGGGGATTGTCGGCAGGGACACCGGGAGAGAGAAACCCCCTTCTCTCATCGAACAGTGTCGCTGGATCTTTATGGTCCACCTGAACAGGCACAGACACAGGAGCTCAGTTTAATGTCTCTTTCGAAGGATGGTGCCTCCGTCAAAGCTATATACAAAGCAGGGAAAATTAGCCATCTGCCTTGACTGGTCTGACAGTATGAGTGAGATGCTTGCAGGCACGGTGCCAAAAGACCTACAGAAACAGCCACAAAGCACTTTAGCTTCATTGTTTATACAGATGAGGACACACAGCTGCCAGATGTGGTACCACACTCCAGCAGTGTGTCCTCATCAGTGTAGGAAGAAAGGACCTGGATTTAACTGAGTAAGTTATGTTTCCTGGACTTTAACTTTTACAATATGTTAACGAGGTAGCGTAACTTTTATTTAATAAATCCTAGGGTGTAACTATAGATGTATACATAATACAGATATGTTGTACACATGTACAGGGTGTAATGTCTCAAGACTGTCCTCTTCAACTGCGCCTTCGGTTACCCCCACACCCTCCCTGCCCTCATTCCTCCTGATCCCAACCCCCCAGCTCGGGTCCAAATCCTTGACTGTCCAGCACCTTTGGGATGTCCTCCCAACGTGACACTGATTGATATGTTACAACAACAACAACAACAACAACACATCAGGTGTCAGCCTGGCCCAGTGACCCTCTTGCCTCAGAGTCAGAAGGTTGTGGGTCGAAGTAACAGGCCATTGGAACGTGAATACAGCACTGGGAGGAGCGCTACATATTTGGAGGTGCCTTCCTTCGGGTGAGATGTTAAACCGATGCCCCGTCTTGTGCCTGTTCAGGCGGACGTTAAAGATTCCCCAGCGCTATTCGACAAGAGAAGAGAGCCTCTCCTCTTGTC